ACGAAGAACACAAGGAGTTGGAATTTTATTTCTGAAACTTCCTAATACAAGGTAAATACTGAAATCTGTGGTACTTTCGGTCTGCTTCGACGACTGACATCTATCTATCTATACACCTCTTTCAACGCGAGGTATCAATTTTGAGGCAATTCGACAGTTCTCCATTTTAAAATCAGTTTTTGTTACAAATTTGTTACTTCATTGTCATTTGTCGTTATGTTCAATATGTAACGACTACTACGGTTGCGTTTTGGGCTAAAAAAGTACTACAAATGTATTGATCTTTTCTAGGACAGCACTTTATCATTGCTCCCAAGTCAATTAAGTTTTTAATGTGATATGCAATTATTTCTATTGTCGTCTGGCGATAAACTAATGCCGGATATTAAAGACTGGCGTTGGTACCCGTTTACATAATGGTATTGCTGGCGAAGCTGCATATTGGGTTTGCAGGAGGCTGTCGCCTAAAACCATTATCGATCTTCTTTAGAATTGTATTAGATAGGTAATTGAGTTTTAACTACAGCGTGTTTCGTTAACACTTATAAATTTCACGTATGTGGGATTTAAATTGAAATAACTCGCAGTTGATTTCTTATCGCAGTTAATTCATGGTTAACCCCAACTTAATTTTATTTTAAATATACTTGTATTAGAATAATATAATTATTAAAATTGGCTCGTAATCGATTTCATTCTCGCGGTTAACTCACGGTTAACCCTGACGTAAATTTATTTAAAATTAACTTTACTTATTAGCACGTAGGTACTAATATAGTTCAAATTAAAATCGATTTGCAGTCGATTTCATTATCGTGGTTAACCTCGATGTAATTTTATTTAAAAAAATAACTTGACTTATATAGCACGTAGGTACTAAAATTGTTCGAATCAAAATCGACTCACAGTCGATTTCGTTATCGTGGGTAACTCGAAGTTAAGTTTGACGTAATTTTATTTAAAAAATATACTTTACTAATTAGCACGTAAATACTAAAATCTTTTTAAATTAAAATCGACTCGCAGTCGCTTCCGTTAACGTGCTTAACCCCGACGTAAATTTATTTTTAAAAAAATACTTTACTTATTAGTACATAGGTATTATAAAAATGTTCAAATTAAAATCGACTCGCAGTCGCTTTCGTCAACCCCGCCGAAACTTTATGTAAAAAAAAATATTTACTTATTATTAATATTCGCACGTAGGAACTAATATTGTTCCAATTAAAATCGACTCGCAATCGATTTCGTTATCGTGGTTAACTCGCAGATAATCCCGACGTACTTTTATTAAAAAAATATTTACTTGTTGTATAATATTAGAACGTAGGAACTAATATTGTTCAAATTAAAATCGATTCACAGTCGTTTTCGTTACCGTGGTTAACTCTCAGTTAACCCTGACGTAATTTCATTTAAAAAAGTCTTTGCTTGTTAGCATATAAGAACTAATATTGTTCAAATTAAAATCGACTCGCAGTCGATTTCATTAAAGTGGTGAACTCGCAGTTAACCCCGACGTAGTTTAAAAAATATACGTTACTTATTAGCACGTAGGTACTAATACTGTTGAAATTAAAATCAACTCGCAGTCAATTTCAGTATCGTGTTTAACTCGCGGTTAACTCCGAGGCAGTTTTATTATAAATCACAATACACATATTAATATATGTACATATTAATATATCTGTTCAGATTTTCATCCACCAATGTTCGATTTGGTTATCGGGGATAACTCGCAGTTAACCTGATGTTTTATTAAATGTAGGTTAGATTCACATTTGCTATGTATGAAAGCAAACATTTATTATAATTGCGAAAGCAGCAAGTACTACTTTTATCATATATGATAAAAATGAATAATTTCATTTTTTATTTTCATTATTTATGAGCGTAAGAAAAAATCTTACCTTGATCAATGTCCGACTCGTCCGATGATATTATGATCCCATAACGCCGACGACGTTTGGCATCTGTATTTTCCAAGTATTTCAATTTATTTTTATAATATTCGATTTTTTCTAAGTTTGTTCGCTTTGACATTTGAACGGAGGTGTGGAGGTGTGCTTGTTGCCACGTACGAAAAAGGAATGAGGATAGAAAATGGCGGTTGATGCCTGGTAGGCAGTGTCAACGTCAAAACATTTTTTTTTGTTTCTAAAAACCGTGCGGTGTTAAGGAAACTACCTGGTTAAATATTATATCGAAAATGAAGCGACGAAACATAATTGCGAAAAGTCGCACCATCTCAGTCAATTCGACGTTGAATAATCTCTTTCTAATCTATTTTGCGCGACCGAGCGGAAGTACAAATAATTTACGTATCTTCGCTAGACCAAGGTCGTGAGTGCACTGTCTCTATGCGCCCGCGCCCTCACCCCCGACCTGTGCTTTGATTTTCGCCGCCGTGCCGCAGCTCGTCATTGCCTCGGAGCAATAATAGTGATGTGCATAGATTTCGATAACTAATGTTGTTCACAATTAGTAGTCGATAAAAAAAAAAAATTTTTTTGTAAAGTTTAAGTTCATTAGTTTATTTTTTTGGGTTCAGAATCAGGAATATAACGCACTCTGTAAGTATGTCCCACTTTCAAATATACAGCCTGTATAATATGTTTATAAAAATCAATTACCATGATAATTATAACAAAAATTTAATCTCCATTTGTGGTGTTACTAGTGTTACTACTGTTACAGGTGTTACCCACACTTGTAGTGTCATCAAAATTTTCTGTGTCTTCATTTCCTTCATTCAAATCATACCGAATAATTTTATATAAGCGGCTTGCTAATAATTCTATGTAAATGTTGCTATAATGGAAAAAGTATTGATATCGCTCTTAGATAAATGAGTAGTGTGTTTATCAGTAATCATCAAAGTAGCGATGCAACAGCAATCGACACATTTGAAAAAAAAAGGTAAAATGTTAGAATCTCCGCATTTTCCCCACATAGCGTCAATCCCACAAAATGCCCAATCGAGTTCAAATTCCCTTTTCTTTTCATGTTTTTTTTTCATTGTTTTTTTTTTCATATCAGAAAAAACGGTTTTTTAACAACACTATTCGGAACTTCGTTCACGGTTTCGCTACGCATATTATCCTCGCACTGCGCAAACTCCTCGCATAGCTTTGGTGGAAACGATGACATCGTTTCAAAGCACGACTACACATCCTCGCACAGCCTAAGTACCTCGCCCATCTCTGGTGGAATACTTACTTTCTGGTGGGTCCTTTTAAATTCTAAAAAGTACTTTCGTAACGACTGTGTTTTGAAATATGACACTTTTAAATCTAAAGCACCTACGCGAAAGCTATTCTTCTTTAGAAACTTTTGGAAAAAGTTAAAGCATTATGATTATTAAATTATTTATACATATATTTCAAGCTTCTCTTACCCTTTTATGTTGCTCCTGTACAACCTTATTGTATTTATTAATTTCTGCCTTCACGTAATAATCATCAGCGAAATACGTGTTAACTTTCCAAGTATCTCCATAGAAATTCAGTGGAAAAATGTATGGAAGTCCTTAAACATTAAGAAAAACATTATACAGTTAATTACACTATTTTGTAACTTTATACAGATAATGTAGGTTAAATCATAACCAGGCAAAACATCGTATTGCAGATACACAAACTATAAAAAAATATTTGGTGCAGTTTTCTGAAATTGTGCTTTCTTAGTCTCCTTTGTTACTCATTAAAGTTTAGATTTCATTTTTAACATCGCAAAGAGACACATTTTAATAAAATGACAATAAAGCATTTTATTCAATAAAGTTCGTAGCCTTGATATAATAAAGCCACAATGTGTAATCATATGTCAAAAGTGACTTTCTCACCTCAAAATATAATAACACTTCCATTTAAGCTTAAAAAAATTACCGACTAATTGCGTTCATAGATTGTTTAAACTTCTGTCCTGAAAAACAGTCATTTTGCAGATATGTATATACTTATACATGATGATATATTCTTACACAAAGAAGGGTGCGAATTACTGCCAACCATACCTCCTAATAGATGCCGCATATAGGGCGACAGACGCGCACCACACATCCGTGCAATTAATTGATCACATACAAAATTTTGCAAAAATTCATCACTTAGTTTCGACCAAGTATCAGATCTGTACGCATCTCCTGATATTCCTGTATTGTTACGCTTCTCTTAATGAAACGAATTAGAAAAATGACTATGTGTGCCGTGAAATGGTGTCGAAAAACTTCCAGGACCTCAAACTTTCAAAAAGATGGAATCTTGTTTCACCGGTAAGTTATAATAACTACGTTATTTACAAATTTCGCATAGGTCAAATTAAAATGGCGAACACTAAAAAACTACGAAGGAAACTGATCTCTTGTTGATGTCTTTCGGAGAGGTCTCTTTCTTTTATTATGATCTTACAAGTGAGCGTCTCTTTTTGTCGAAGACACGTGTAACACTAGGGTTGGGAAGATTTGAGATCGTCATCTTAATCAGTATAACAAACATTATTAGTATATTACTAGTTTAACTACGTTTATAGATAGCACTTATTGTTTATTATTCTTCGATTATGTTTCGTGTAAAATTGGTTACATAAATTAGTTTCAGTAATATATTATTTTATGTCTTGTTTGATTATATTAATAGTTATTCTTGTAACGTAATACAATGAATAACAAATTCATGTTTTATCTTATCACCTTACATTGTATGACCTACCTTCAATTATGACATTATACATACTTAACGCCATAATTAATTTCATTAGTAATGCTTTTGTAAATACGACAACTTATAATACTTAAGTACCTTGTGTTCTTACAATTCCTTTTTTCCTGTATCAAAATGTCATCCTGCTGTCGTAAGTCATTCAATAATTTACATATATACTACCGTCACGCCTGTCTCCCATAGGGGTAGGCAGAGCTTTGAGTAAGGCAAGCCCACTTTAGCCACGACTAGCAAACGTTTTTATTAAAATTTTAGTGTAAGTTAGTGCACTAAATAGTAACAAGTTGTCAGCATGTCGCCTACATATAGGATAGAATTAAAACCCAGGTCCTCAGTCGGCTTTTACGATTTGCGCGGAACCATAAGCAGCTGATACATTCTATGCTTTTCTTTTGCTTCCAGATCACCATGAAAGAATTTAATAATTTGTGTTACAATACTATTGTTTTTATTGACTAATTGGATGCAGACTGGTAAAGGTTGCCCATCACTAGCTGTAAGTGCAATTTGAGTGCATTTCTAGTTCGACCTTGAGCTAGCTAATCAGAACGTCTTAATTGCATTCCCCGCGTCTCTTGCCTTCCTCCGAATTTGGTGAGCTCGGTTCAGTATAAAATTTTCAACAGGCGGCATCTATTAGGAGGTTATCTATGCTGCCAACGTTACATCGTTGATGACTTTTACGGGAATTGTTATGTTAATTTGCCGCCATAATATCTTGTACATATATCCGTAACACTTTATAAGACTAGACTAGTTTTAATTTTCGGTAACGATAATTTAGAAACTTGCCTTTCGTGGTCCCCAAAGAACCATCACTAATGGCGCCAACTGCTCGGAAATTCGGTATTCTCTCCGGATGGTTACGCGTATACCAAATCGCCTTCAGAGCTTTGGTCATCCTCGCAGAATTGAACAACGGTCCGTGTAGATTGCTCGAAGAGATTACTCTCACCTTAAAGTTAGTCGAGTTCAAATAAGGTTTATTATATCTAGCCCAAAACTACCACCTCTACATAATTGTACGCGTTCCGAAAACATAAAATTTTATTTTTCTGTATGCGGTAACAATCTTTCGATCGCGGCGCGAATCTTAATTATAATTTAGTATATTGTACACTTTACAGCGTAACGTATTCCGAGTTAAGAAACTTTATTCTCACAAGAATTTATAATTCACTCGAGATGAGAACTTATGGACTAATTAAATACAAGAAGTATATTACCTAGCCGATGCGAGCGTGCTGCATTCCTTGTTAGGAACTATTTTGTTATAACTATTGAATATAAAACGAAATTAAATCAGTATAAACAATATCGACAATAACGTTATTTTGTTTTTTTTTGACGTGAGCTTTTCTTATGATAGCAAGTGACGAGACGAACAAGTCATGTGTCTGATGGTAAGCGACACACCTATCCATAGCAGTTGCAGTGTCACTCACACCCTTCATTCGCTCATCACCCAGAGACATAAGTTGACAAGTCCCGAGTGCCTGTAATTTCACCAGCATCCTAACCCTTCAAAATTGGTAAGTCAAACAGTAATGCTCACATTACCGATTTGCGGCAGAAAAAGGTAGGGCGGCATTTCCCTGGACGAACTCTTTGACAAGGAGCTATACTGCTACTCAAAATAGAGCTTATTTTAATGACAAGCCATAACAGTGCGCCGTTAAACCAAAAAGGAATTACAATAAGGTTTCGAGTACATATAGACTATGAAGTAGGTAGGGGAACGTGGGGTATTGGGAGCTCGCGAGTAATGAGAGCGGTGTTAAACTGAACATTCCCATTTGTGCAAACGGTACTCCTATGTCTTCGTTAACGTTCGCCAAGGTTCGAGGCCTGTGGGCACCCCCGTAGAACCCCGCGTTTAGTCGTATGAGATGGTTGTGTGTCTTTCGCTCCGCACTTATAATTTACCAAATTTCATCATCACACTAGCTATGTCACCATATCTAACAAAATGTTGAAGTTATGCTTGAAATTACAATAAAAATAGAAATATTTTTACTGTTTTATTCCTTTTTCAATTCGATGTTACGCGGATAATGAGAGCTATTTGGTTCTCCCTATCCCATTGTAATATTCACTGGATATTCCTTTAACCTTTCTTGTCTAATCTCATTACTTTTTAACTTATATATTTAATTACTTTAATTATTTTTTTCAGATTGATTACATATAATGGCTCCCATTTGACATACGGGATTCTTACCGGCTCCCATTTCCTGAACTGTGGGGTAATGGGCGAATGACATGTTTTAGTATTTTCTTTTTAACAAAATATTATAGTTTAGTTTCACATTATTTCTGTGATTATCTAGTACCCAGATATGTGAAGCGTACGTTCATAACTAATAAAAATTTAAATGGTTTAAATTATGACTTTTATTATCAATTTTCCTTAGTAGGCTCCCATTCCCCCACGCTCCCCTACTTACGTGTTGTATTTGATTTTTTTTGTCGAACAAATAGATTTTGAATAACTTTTTGCGTTTTTACGCATTTCTTTTATACCATTAGGTTACACTTTCATGTCGCACCCTCAATATTAAAATGACGTAATTCCCGAAAATATGGGAAACTAAATAACATAAAAAAGTGCGAAATAAAAGTAATTTATCGTTTTTCATATCAAATATAATTTTGTCTTTGTAGATCAGCCAAATGGCAAGTATGGCTGGTGAAATGCTTTTTTTTAAATAAATTTGTGTTTGCAAAAAATGTTTTTCAAATTACATCACTTTGTTAAAGATGTTAAAGATGCGCTATGTAAAATTCTTTTTGGTTCTTAGGGGAACAAGGGTGGACACAATAAAATATTATTTGCTGATCTTAGTCACCTCTTTTGGGTATCTTCATGTTTAGCATTAAAAATAATATTCGTGTATGTGTATATTTGCGTGTTATATTTCGTATTTATAAGTTATGATAATATCCTTAATTTTTTTGCGTAAACAGTTTTGCAGTAAAATTGGCATAATTATATACATATAAATATTTTATTTAGTGATATTTGTAATACGTTAAGAGTTTCACTTGCTCTACCCAGATAACTATCAAATAATATGTGTAGTTTCACTGATGAGACTTATATAGCATACCGTACGTTACGCGGTAAACAACGAACTACGCCACGGAGAGTATTTTTAACTGTTTACCTAACTTTTATAACTACTTTTAGGTTGATTTACAACTAGCTTAACAGCTAAACTACATCTACTAAGATTAGGAAGTGCTACATCCAGTTGGTCCTTCGAGCGTATTTTTAAACTACTTACAACCTGAGGTCTCGGAACTGCTCTGCTGTGCTGTGTGATTAGGTATGTGACTAAGTTGTGATATCAAATCGATTTACTAGACTTCCCTCACGCAAGCCACACAAAATTGAGAAGGCGTATATATAGCAGTGAAATTGGCTAAGAACTTCAATATTTTAACTAATCAGTATGGAGACACGAAACCTTTAAGAGCTAGGACTCAAAATTAAAGAAAGCACCTGCGATGGCAGTCGATGTAGACAGCGAGTCGACTGCGCCGCCTTCGTAAGCGGAATTCGCTTGCCGGAAAGGTGGCAATCGACTTAGTGTAAATAGCGCGACTACTATGCCGCCTTCGTCAGCGTAATTCGCTTATCGTAGAGGTTACAATCGACACGATGTAAACAGCGAATCGACTGCACCTCCTTCGGCAAGTAGGTTGCCAAAGGCGGCAGTCTACCCTGTGTAATCACGCCATTCAAGTAGTTACACATCGACTTTGCAGATTATATTGACGTTCCAACCTGGCTAAGCATTGGACCACCGAACCCGTTTTAAGCATCAAACAATCCATGTCATTTATTAAACAAACCCGAAACATCTCTGAAGATGGGTAGTAAGGAGTTTTCAAAAATCTTCAATAACATAAAATCCTAAACAAGCAATCGAACCAACGCGCCTACTGTAGACTAAATAATATCAAAATATCCCTTGGGTTTACGATATAAATAATATAAAAAGAAAACCCTGTATCCCCCACGCACCTTATCAATAAACTCTTTCTTCATCCATGAAGCGTTGAACGATGTATAATCCAAATTTAATTCCTTCCAACGCTGCGATCCAAATAAGTCCCATTCGCAAACATTTGACTTTGCAGGCAATTCATTATTATCTTCCACCGTATGTACAGGTCGTATGTCTTTTATAACTAAAGGCCTTTCATATTCAATATGGAACATTTTGTCATTAGCCCCGAACATGTGTATCCTATTGATTTCACTACATAACACCTGGAATACAAAAATGTTTCAACAAATACTCATATTGTTTTATTTATTCTCTGCTTGTGTGATATATCTGACACCACATCGAGCACGAAGGTATGGTATTATATCGAAACAACGAGTACCTATACAATAAACTAAGTAGTAAATTTAGGGATACCTAACTCACGATCCTAATACATAGAATAAAAAATTCTTGCACTTGCACAATTGTATCCTATCAAACCAATACACTATTATATCAAAAACCCTATTACATAGATTTGTTATTAATTAAACGAAATACTTTCTACATAGATCTCTCATAGATGGCGCTACGGCTAAAAAGTCGTTGAAAACCAAATACAAAGATCCGACAACAAGCACATAGAAAAATTCGTGAGGTCCGCTGGTTCGTTCGTAGCTGGCTTAGTTGGCATAGCGTCTGCCACGGCTTGCTAGGAGACGTCGCTTCGAATCCGGCTGGATCGAAAAGTTTTTTCTAAGTTTTAGATCTTTGTATTAATAATCATAGTTCATATTGTTTTCAAAAGTAATTTGGGGAAAAGCTACAAACGTGATTTTCCGGTTTTTTGAATTTTTTCAAAAGCATATGTTTCGATTACTTTGTACATCAGATATTAAAGAATTCTAATCATCCATTACAATTATACTTAACAACATTAGCTATTTCTGTCGAAAAACCAAATTAATTTGTTTTGTATTGATAACAGCCAATAGATTCTTCATTCATGGACTTCAGGTCAAACACGATATAATTATGGAACGGTGTAATTAATAACTGCTTGACATATCATATCAAAATTATTGAATACCCTTATTGCCCTAATTATTTAAATACCAGAGTCAAACTTCATTTAATTTGCTACGTACCTTCAGATGATCTCCTAAAATTGAAGTAGCAATAGCCGGAACCGGAGTAGGGCAAAAAAATGAATCAGAAGGAATGTTAGTCGAAAAAGTATAGACAATATCCATAGCTACCAAACCATCACACATAAAAATTGGTTTTCTTTTATGTAGTTTCTTTCTGTGCTTCCTAAAGTACTTTCGTTTTTCATTTTCCTCTTGTTCTAATTGTTCTTTACTTTTCTCCGGCATTACTAAATTCGAAGCGACTTTCAAAAGTAAATATAAGGAATCAAAACATTCTGCTGTATTAATATCATGCCATTCGAAAATGTTGGGGTTTTTTAAATTCGTATGGATAACAAACACATCGCCGTCTGAAACGCTAAACAGAGAACCACATTCTGACTTTAATTAACATTTTAGATAACTAGTTGCAAGAGCTAACTAAACAGCTAACTAACAAAGGGACACTTACAAGAGCAATGCCCTAAAACAAAAGAAAAGATGATAATTATATACCATAAAATTAACGCTATTGGAGTAAAGAAGAATACTAAATCCTTGTTTGAGAAGGTTTAAAAGGCATAGAGCCACGAAATTTGAGGTTAACCACACCGGCGAAACCGACAGTAAATATAAATAATATATAACTTGGACTCCAAATAAATTTTCATTGAAAATTTCCTTCTAGGAATGATACAAAACATATAGTTCTTACTATAGTGCCTTTCATGCAATTAATGGAATTACTCACAGAGGCAAATTTGTTGTAATTTGAATAGAATTGAAACAGGATGCACTAGTCGATTCCACCTGCCGTATCCAATGCAAACCTTCGTTTACCTCGTTAGAGTAAACCAGAAGGGTCATGCTTATTAGCTGATCAAATCCAAATACTAGCCCCTTAAAGATATTTAGCGCAAACATTTGAGCTTCAGGCAATAATGGATTCACCATGATAACTCGAAGGGGCAGACGTAATTCCACGTATTCAAAATTCATAGTAGGTACTTTAAAAAATCTCAAAATTTAGAAAACGCTTGGCTTGGGCCAGTGTCAGTTTCGATGTATGTTGCCGATTAATTCTGATCAACAACGCCAGCGATTAGGAACCAACAAGCTAATTCTTTCTAGTTTAAAATTAATAATCTGTTAAAAGGCTAATGCAAAAAAACTACTATTATGTAACTGACGGCTCATATCAACGCAACTTTTTTTTTCCTTAATGGCGGCCACTAGAGTTGGGCCAGTGTCAGTATTATTTTTCTGCTCTGACTATTTATCCATCCTCTAAGTTTTTCTGATTATATTTTGCCTTACTGATATGCTGCTTACTTTTTAGGAATTTATGGTTTTAATTTTTTTATAACTTGCTTGCCGAGTGTAATGCATAGGTACCTACGTGGTACCTATTTATGCAGATTATGTTTATTAATGTTTAAACCTTACCGTTTCTTTAAATAAATCTAGTCCATGGTGCTTATACGTACCTAATGATTAATAAAATTGAGCTTTATAGCACTTAGTTGATAATAAAAATAACGTGCCTACATGATATAAATTCTCACTCATAAATAAAATTCTCATTAAAACGCTGCCATATAAAATAACACCTAAGAAAAACTATTTAAGCTGCTTGGACTAGAATTTTCGTAAACCCAGAGTTACTGTTCGACTTACAAATAACAATATTTTTTTTTCAAGAAGTTCTAAACACACAGAAACAAAACAATTGACGCAATCGAAGACACTTTAATCTATTTAATATTACTACCATTGACTTATTACTACGGTACATCAACCGCAATACTAATTCGAGATTCTCCCAAGCTGCTAGAGATAGAAACGAATCGCAATTCAGGAATGGCATCTTCTACTGATCTAGAAGATGTAACTCTTGAATTGCTTTCTTTGCTACCTACAAACTTCTGCTGGGTGACGTGGTCCTTAAAGAACTTGTTACAATACGGTATTAACTGCAAAAAAAAATTAAAACTAAATATGCAGGCACAATTTAGAAGCAGTAAGCTCCTTGTGAAAGAGTTCATCTAGGGAAGTACTGCCACCTTACTTATTTCTGCCGCCAAGCAGTAATGTGAGCGTTAGGTACTGTGTTCCGATTTTGAAGGGTAAGGGTGCTAGTGAAATTACACACATGCACATGGAACTTGTCAACTTATGTCTCAAGGTGACGGGCGCAGTGGCAGTGCCCCTCAGATGGCACTGCAACTGATAATAGTTACGCTTGTCCATAAGGACAGGCGTGTCGCTTACCACCAGGCAACCACAACTTTCACAACTTGTTCTTCTTCTTTCCACAACTTGTTGGTCGTCCCGTCACTTGTAATCATAAAAAAAGTCCGTGGATCAAAAAGTGTGAACTGCTTTAAATGCGTTCGCACGGAATTTGTAGCATGGTTTAAAGTGCTCTGGCATCATTTAAACTGGCTTACACTGGACTTAATAATCGGCGTGACTCGCGGTATAGCCAAGAGCAGATCAAACTTACATTTTGGACTTTAGACTGATCATGAGCGGCACAGAGTTCAATTTCAATCTTAAGTGGCAAAGTTAACGTGCTCACGAACCTGCACGTCCGGCATAATGCTATCACCCTGCGCGACACACGTCCCGCAACTTTACATCCGATACCGCTAGCAGCTTGACATAATTTTTTTTTTCAGATTCGTTTTTGGGAATTTTAAAGGCAAATTTTTTTTACAATTTTAAGTGCATTTTTCTTCTGACTCATCCTTGTTGATCATGCACACTAACAATAGCTCACTTCCCTCCTCGCAGACCACAATCACTATTAACTTTCCGCAAGTGTATTTACATTGAACGTGTTATATGTCCCTTCTAAGATTGAACTGTTTATATTCTGTGAGAAAAATCTAAAAAATAAAATCTGTCGCAAATTGGTTTCGCACTCCCTTGCCGTTCTATGCTGTTCCTGTATAATGTTATAGTATTTCATGATTTCTGCTTTTACGAAATAGCTGTCCGCGAAATAAGTGTTCACTTTCCAAATTTCTCCGTAGAAAGCCAATGGAAAAACGTACGAAAGTCCTAAAATATTACGAAAAAAGTTACTTCATGATTCTGTTAAATACACAAAGTTATGGAAAGCGAAACCAAGATCCGTGATAATGTAACTACAACAGGTGCATTGCATTTGCATGCATAGTCGATTTTACAAAGTAGTTATTCGTTATATAAATGTAAAAAAATTTATAATTTGTGAAACATTAAACTATATTTTATTAGTCTCATTTTTTGTCTTCTACAATTTCAATTTAGCCTGTTGTATTTTCAGAAGGATCTTTCAAGGCAAATGACCATTTTTGAACTTTATTAATATGCCTTAAGTTTAATTAAGCTGTTCAATATCATACTATGTCCTTCCTAAAAACGAAAGCAGCAACATAATACAGCTGTTGCACTTCTGTCTATAAATAAATAAATGACGCCGTTAATGTATTTATGTATCATATCAATGATATGTAGGTAGGTATTGATTAAAAAAGATTACCCGGCCGGTTCGTCTAAACACATTATTCAGCTTGTATGTATCGTATTTTTTTTTCCTTACAATAAACCAAATTGAGCCCATTTATCCCACCACACATCTATTTTATGTGATGAAATTGGTCTGTAGAAATACCTGTTACAGTCCCCAAAGATTCATCACTAATAGCGCCAACTGCCGGAAATTTGGTACACTTTTCGGATTGTTACCCGTTAACCAAATCGCATTCAAAGTTTTAGTCATCCTGTCAGACCTGAACAACGCAACGGTCCAAGTAGATTACTTGAGGCGGATACTTTCACCTTAGAGACGAGTTTTTAAGTTTACAAATTATTTTTTTAAGTATGAAGCTAGATCTACGTTTGTCAATCTCACTTCGCACGAGAAAATGTGGACAAGGACGGCACACGTCGGCCTAGAAGACACTGGTTCACAGATGTACCATTCGGGAAATGTGGAATATGGCAACCAGTTTCACTCCTTAGCTAACTGTTAAAGAACATCGAAACGCTTTGTGCAAATTGTACAGTGTATGTGAGAAATACCTGGCCACATGAAACAATAGCTTCTACGCCCCAAAGTATATGCTATGGTACAATGTAGCTGTAGGATAGTAGGTACGTCGTTGTTCGCGACGCTGGAGGTTTGTCACCACGAGCACATCGTCATCGTCGCCAATGACGTTCTGAGATTGGAACTTCAGCAAATCCAAAGCATCCAACAGACAGCTCCAACACAACAGCAGATCCGTTCCAAAAGTGACAATAGTACCCCATATTACTAAGACACATATACTAAAGATAAACCTGCTCCGACATGAAATACGGTCTGATTTATAAGTGGCTGCTTTAGTAATTTTGGACGGCAGGGCTGTCACGGTATTTTGTACCGTACCTAACAACAAAGGAGGGTAGTCAAATGTTCGTCGACGATAACAATATGGATGTACAAGGCACATTGTTAATATTAAAAGAAGACTTATTAAAATTAACAGTCTTAGTTCGATGGGTGCAAGAATATTTAACATGAAATCACGGAACAAGCATATAGACTAGCGCGCTTAACTGAAAGAATATGTACGACTTAAACCAACTCTAGGTAGACATGTGGGTTTCGGTTAACACTCATGAATAGAAGACTGACTTTTATATTTTTTTAAATCGACAACTTAATTATAATTCACAAAATTCAAGTGGAGACCATATCTGTCAAAAGTGAAGAGAAAAAAAAACCGACAAAAAAAGGCGCGCAAACCGCGTCATTTTAACAGCTTCGCCCGCCACACCACCCCCTACGGAGAAAGATAAAATCACCAAATCTTAAACTTTACACGCCTACCGGACGTATAGGTTTGCAGAGAAAACTCTGGAGAAAACTCTGGTTGAGGTGATGTATCAGTTGCAGGAGGTTGGTGTTGGTCTGTCAAATCCTGGTGGGGGACGACCTATCCCTGTCGATCGTGGTGCGAGCCATGGTCGGCAGCGAGAGGGCGTGGAATGCGGTGGCCTCCTTCTGCACCGATGTATTGTCGCGGAAAGAGGCGGCGGAGCGGGAGCGAGAGTAAGACCCTTCCTCTCATCCTAGGCGCCGCAAACGTTTAGGGCGCAGGCGGCTGACCTATGCCCGCCAACTGCCGCCCTGACAGTGAACCCTGAGTGGCAAAACGCGGGCTTTGTCACTCACTGGGCAAGGGTTCACGGGTTGGTTGGCATGCCAAGTATTCCCGACATGCCACTAACGACGGAGTGGAGAAAGTCCCCCAGAGGTGGGTCCGCAGTCGCGGACAACCGCAGGCGCGGCCGTGGATCGTAAATCACGTGGCCACAGCCCCGTCCCATGCGGAGTGTGAGAATACCCGGGGGTTTTTAGTGAGTAGGAGTCTCACATAACCACCGCGCCTCCCCGTGACGCGGTGGTATCCATGACGGATTTTCCCCCTGAAAGGAAAAAAAATGGTCTGTCAAATCCGGACTAGTCTCCTTAGTCCTAGCAGTGTCTGGGTTAGTTGGTGGTTGCTCAATAAAAGCAGGTTTGACTCTGTCGACACTTACTACGACTGATTTTCCCTTAAAATCGATAGTAATGGTTTTACCATCGTCAGAACGAGCCGATGTGTACGCCGAAGGCACAAGTAAAAAGACCCAGCGGGGCATCGTTAACAGGATGTTGCACCATAGTCGCATCAGCTAAGCTCTTCTTACACGCCTCAAATTTCTCGAGCAATTCCGGAGACCAAGGAAAGGGTTTGGCTCCCTTGCTGTTGATAGAGACAAGAGCATAGATTAACGGCGCCTGGAATTGAGCGGCGTGAGGGATAAATCGGCGATAACCATTTATCATTCCAAGGAATCGCCTCATGCCCTGAACGGTTTCAGGTGGTGGAAAATCCATCAGATGTTGAACCATGTCTTTGGGAGGGTGAGTGCCTTGGGCATTGATCAAATTGCCTAAGAAAATAACCTCGCTGGCACCAAGAACGCATTTCGAGGGGTTTATGACCACTCCGTATTTCTGGAA